AGACAGTGAGCATATCCCTGTATTATGCATCGGATATTGATGAAGACGTTACATTCAACAGAATTGGTCAAGCCCGAAGACATTTGCCATGTAATTTTGACTCAAACAGAATGAAGGGATTCTGACCTGACTCTATAGGTCTTTGTTTCGCCGCGGCAAAGAGCTCAGACTACTTTCCACAAACTTTTCGAGGGTCAAGAGCTCCCACCACACGATACGACAGAATCCGTGAGAGAATGGGATTATGGAGACTATGAAGGCTTGACGATAAGCCAAATCAAAGTCAAGAATCCTAACTGGGTTATCTGGAGAGATGGCTGCCCTGGTGGAGAGTCGCCCGAAGACATTACCAAGAGAATAGACGATACCATTGCAAAGGTGAGAATCAAATGCAATTGCGTATAGCTCTCTGAAACGCTTCTTTCATTAGGTTCGAGAGTTCCACAGGCAATATAAAGAGGAAGGAGTTGGCAAAAGAGATAGTAAGTATGAAGTATTTGATAGTTTATAAAAGATACTCATATCTTTTAGTGATGATCGTAGCTCATGGTCACTTCTTGCGAGCGTTCATATCTCGATGGGTCGAATTTCACGTTTGCCTCGGTAGGCATGGTTTTGAACGGTGAAATTGGGGACTTAAACTTGCATAAACAGGTACCCACTTCAATGTCGAACCCGCAAGCGTTGCCCTGCTTACCTATCAGCATAACAATTGTGCGTTGTATTCTATTCTCGTGAAAATCTCACCCCTGACTGTCCCTTCTCGTGTAGTGGCTGAGCCAAGCCTTACTGGTCTCAATCTTTATGCATTTGGTGATTAAAAATAGTAGATAGATGAGAGATGTTGATAGAATTGAAAAGAATTGTTGTCTGTAGTGCATCTTGACTTGCCCCCTGTTTGGCGCTGGCGGGCTTGCTGAGTTTTGTGACTTTCTTCTTTCGTGACTTACGATCAACTTGAAACCATGTCCACGGAAGAGCCCATCAACGACGTGCAATTGGAACCTTCTACTCCCTCCAAAGCTCAATCAGATTCTAATGAAGTAACAAGCCCCGTTGCGCCGTCTGTAACAAGCCCGGGTGGTGCGATCGACGAACAGGGCAGCGCAAAAGTTGATGAGGCGTCCGAACCGGCTCCCAAATCACCTTCGAAAATTAAAGCTCCCGTAAGCACTGATGCAAAGAAAGGTGTTAAACCAGGACCTTCAACTGTTAGGACCGCAGCGTCAGCTGCTCCCAAGAAAGTACGTGTTTGTTGTCATTTACTGCACCTCATCCGGAGTCCTCTCTCCTGTGCTTAATGTTGTTGCTTACTATCGTGTTCACATATAGGTAGCGCAGTCGGGCACTGCTGGTGGATCGACGAGCGGCAGAGGAGGAACCACAACGTCTGGGACCAGTGGAAAGCCATCCGCTGGTGCTGGTGGCACCAACGGAACCTCAACATCAAGAGCTGGAGGTCTTACGCATCACAAGGATTCCCCATCTACAGCTTCCTCCGCGGTTGGTGGAAAGCGCGTCCCGACCACTTCGGCGGCAGGTACCGCTGCTCCAGCAGCTGCAAAGCGTGCTTCTTTGGCACCCGGGTCTGCTTCAGCAGGAGGTGCCGCGAAACTCGCTGGTACCAAGCCCGCTCTGTCCGTATCTACCAGTGCCAGAGCATCAGCTGTCGGAGGTGGCCCTACTACTCCTAAACCGGCAGTAGGAGCTTCTAAAGATACCAAAGATACCAAGGATGCTAAAGAGGCGAAGGATGGCAAAGAGACTCCGTCATCAGTCAAAAGAACCTCCGGCGTCCTGTCACCGACTCGTCCGACTGGTGCTAAACCCCGAGCGTCAGAGGCACCAGCCGCTACAACAGCTTCCGCTCGAGCGGGACCAAGAGCGAGTCTTGCTGCCGGAAAAGCAACGACATCAACTGCAGCTGGAGCAGCTGCCAGGGGCAAAGCCCCGGCGGCAGCTTCAAATGAGAAAGTAACCGAGCTAGAAGAAAAGGTAAGAGCATATAGTGTTAGAAATGACATTATCTAACCATGTAATCGATAGCTCAAAGACGCGACTTCATCCTTGGAGGAAAAGCTCGCAAAAGTCGTCGAGATGGAAAGCCAGATTTCTTCGCTAACAGAAGACTTGGCTGCACGTTGTACGGAATTGGAAGAGCGCAACAAGGCCATTGAGGATCAAACTGCGCAACATTCTCAGCTTGAACAGGATCTTGCAGCTGCACGGGAGGTCTCTGATCAACACAAACAAGCTTATGATGAATCTCATGCTCTCTACTTATCCTCTTCATCCGAGGTCAGCGACGTTCTCAATTAGCTAATCAATTTTCTAAACACCATTCTAGGCTGAGGCTGTCTTGAAAGACTTTGAGGCAACTAAACAAGAACTCGAACAAATCAAGGCAGAGTTGGAGGCTTCCAACGCCAAGGTCGCGGAATCTCAAGCCGCAGTTGACGAGTTAAAAGCCAATTTAGAGGCTGCAACTCAAGATGCTACTACTGCTCGAGAAGGGCTTGCAAAAGCCCAAGAGGTACTCAACTCAGCCAAGGAAGAGCTTGAAACTTTGAGGACGCAGGTAGGGGATGCAACAACCTTAGCTGCTTCCCTAACTACTCAGGTCACGGAGCTGAGCGAGTACAAGCCCAAAGTTGAGGAGTACAAGGCCGAGCTCGAGGTTGCCAATCGCATGTTGGTGGATACTGCTACCAAGTTATCAGAAACAGAAGTGGAGGTCCTCGAACTTCGAGATGCTAAAGAGGAGTTTTTGGAAACTCAGAAGAGCAACCTTGCAAAGATTCAGGCTTTGGAAGGCGACGTATCCGCTGCGATTGAGAAGCATGATGCCGAGATCGAGACCCTCAAGGCCTCTCATCTAGAAGAGTTGAACACCTTGAAGAAGCAGATGGAGGACGCCTTGGAAGAGGCCGCTGCAAAGGCGAGTGCAGACATGGCCGCTCAAGAAGAGGAGCTTAAGAACACGAAAGAAGAGTTAGGCAACCAGCAGAGTGTCTATAATGCGAAAATCGAGGCTGCAGCTGCAGAGCATGAAGCTCTGCTAGCACAGGCCTTTGAAAAAGCCAAGGTAAGAATAATTTCTTTACGAGGGTATACGTACTGAACGGCGTACAGAACGAAGCTGGTGCTGCTCACTCTGCAGAACTTCAAACTCTAAGAACTCAATCTCAAGCTTCGATGGAAGAGGTTCGTGCTGCGCACGCTAATTCTCTGCAAGAGCTCCAATCCTCGCATGAAAATGCATTGGAAACAGCAAAGAAGACGTATGAGAAACAGCTTGCTGCTATCACTTTGGACCTCAATGCTACACGGGAGGATCTTGCCAAGTCCAAGAACCTGGTGTCCACATGTCAAGCTGACAATGACCACCATACTGCCGAGATCCAACGTCTCAAGTCAGAGCTTGAAGCCGCCAAGGAGTCTTCGTCTCAAGACCAGGCAAAGGATGCGCAGGTTGCCGACCTCAAGAGGCAATTGTCTACAATGGCTGACGATTTGGATGCCACCAACGCGGCCTTCACGGCTCAGAAGGAGTCGCTACAAGAGATGATGGAGAGTCATCAACGTGACCTTGAGGAAGCAGCCAAGTCCCGTGTTGAAGCCATTCAGGAACTCAAGAAGGCTGCTGATGAGGAAAAGGCGGCTTGGACAACGGAAAAAGCCAAGCTCGTACAAGACCTCGAGGACGAGAGGGTAGCCAAAGAGCAAGCAAAAGCTGAAGCTCAGGCCGCTCAAACTGCCCTACAGACTCCTCCAATGTCACCAAAGGCTAACGGCGAGCCCAGTCATATGGTCGCTCGCGAGGACCTGCGAAAAGTTCACGAGGCGCACACAGCCAAGATGGCTGAAGTGGAAGCAAACCACAACAAGGTCGTGCAAGAACTGAAAAAGGAAATCGCCGAGCTGAAATCGGAATGCGGTCATCTCCGAAGTGACGTCGATAGCAAGACACTCGAGCTCAAGTTCATGGGTGATGAGAAGCAAGAGTTGGAAGAAGAGATAGAAAAGTAAGATCTATTCTTTGATGAGACGAGCCTCTGCTGATTCGGTAATAGGATGAAGCAAGATATTAGATTTGGATAAGCTTCAGGATTATCCGAATTGTCAACACGAGTGTTCCCTTCCGGAAATTACATGGATCAATTTATCACCTCACCCTAATTTCTGACCCTTCAGAAGTCGCCCCGCATTGATTCTCGAGCCCCTCGTTCTCATGCTAGTTTGAAAGCCAAGTACTGTCATGCCATTCCTTTATTCACTCCGTCTAGACTCTGTTCTCACGTACATTTTATGCATGACTTTACTTGTCTGCTTGACTTTCTATGTGCACGTCCTTGTCCAAGTCGAAAGTCTTATTTTCTCGTTCCGTTTCTTATGCTT